GGATATTTTTAAAGACAGTACACAACTGACCCTATTATAATGTGAAGACGGTAAACTCAAAAATAAACAAAGCAGATGTGCGAATTTAAAACTAATATTGTGATAATATACCAATATATATAATTGTGACAACAATTACTCTTTGATACAAGTTTCATTTAAAGCGTCTGACAATCTACTGCTGTTAATTATTTTCTTTTAATTAATTTTCCGGGTGCTCTCATAATTGTTACACTTCCGGACATAAATAAAGCAGAAATTGTCCGAATGTTTTTTTCTATGTCCAAGTTCTATCGGCTTTATTTCTAGCCATTATCATGATTTATTTTTACTTTTAACTGAATGTATGGAATTAATTATATATATATATATATATATATATATATATATATATATATATATATATAATCGACTCTCCCGTCGAGATTCGACCTATGAGGCTCAAGCAGATCAGTTTCCAGGAAGCCGACAGCCCGACACCGGCACATGAGATTTGAATATGAAGGCCTCGTGCAGGACCATCCACACCTTTTGAAGGGAACGAATACAGAGACCTGGAGCACCGAATGCCACAAGGTTCCTAAACGACCCTCCGCAGGTTTTGAATTTCATACTTGTCCTTCTCCTAGACCAGTTGCCATCCAAGGCTATAAAACCCAGTCAGTTCTGCTATTTCATGGAGGAGGAAGAGAATTCATACCTTTCCCAAGGGTATTAGCACGTAAGTGAAATGTAATGGATTCGACTGGAATTTGAACTCGCCTCTGCGATTCCGCAATCAAGCTGCTGTCCATTATTCCCCGTGCCTCCTGTATATATATATATATATATATATATATATATATATATATATATATATCACCATTTTTGGAAAATCAAATATATATATATATATATATATATTATAAAAATATATATATATTTCAAAAATGGGTAAGGCAAATGTTCATAGTTGATATTATTGAGGATTGCGTTTAGTTATTTAATAATAATGCTTCCATTAATTTAGTCCCTTTTACATCTAGATATGCATATTTGTTTTATCAATGGGTATGTTCCGGATAGATTTTTTTAGGTTTGCATGTGTATTTAAATGAGACCTAATTGAGCATTGTCGGAGAGATGCGACGTGAGTTTTCTTTTAGACATGATATATTATATCCACTGTAATTCTATATTACTTTGGAATGATCGAGAACACGCATAACAAGCGTAATGTAACGTGTAATTGAAGAACGTGCCATCTGGGCTGACGCACCTCTATGAATTTAAACGATGCATCATGAGATTACTCTGTGTAACTATCAAAATTGTTGCATGCGAGTAAAGCAAGTTGGGATATGGATTTATCTCTTTCGTAAGAAATTAGAAAAACACGTGTCATTGGCGAAAAAAAAGCAGACGGGAATTATATTTGCGTAAGTGAAAAAGAATTGAGAAATGAAAACAGAGAATGAACTCGATGCTAGGGTTAGTATTATTAGAATCGATCCGTTATAACAGGTAGGTGATCTGGTTATTGTTTTCGACTCAAGTATAGAAAAAAACGTGTCTCTTTGCTGAGAATTTAGGTAAGCAAATTTATTTTCGAAAAAAAAATTGAGAAATTATTTTTCTGTCTCTCGAAAGTTAAGAATTAGAAGGAGATCTGTTTTGTGCTTTCGCTGGACAGTTATATCCAGGAGAGGATTTATAGAACGTACATTAATGAAGAAAATAATCAACACCCTTTCACATTCCCATTTTCAAAGAGACTGTTATGCCAGCCCTGAGAAGTAAGCTGAGTTAGAATACCAAGATGAAAGAAGAAAGGAGTAGAATTTAGCTATGCCTGTGCGGAGTATCGATGCGAGATGTAAAGTAAAAGAGGTTGGAGTTAAGAGACGATTATTTAATGTGACTACTCCCAGGGAAGTTGAATAATTCTCCAAATATGGAAAATTGATTAAGAAAGAAGAAATAGTATACAAGAAAACATTTACTGTAATAAATGAAAATTGTGGAATTATCGAATCCATAGAACCTCCAGCCGCTCGTCAGGTTTGGGCCGAAATTAATATAACCAGATGGCTTTGGGAAGCTAAGAGACTTTGTGCTGAGTTCACGCATTGGCTGCCTCTAAAATTCACGTCAGCTGCCACAAGATTTCCTGATTCAAAGAACTTTAAACCCATTTCATTTCAGACAAAGCGCATTGTAACTACAAAGATTCATACGGGATGGGTAAATTGTTTCTGGTACCAAGAATTAAATAAACCAGTTGAAGATTAACTCCATGAATCTTTCGTCATATCTTTTCGTCATGAACATATTTATTTTTCATTAATGTTCCACCAGCTCAGGCTTGAGCTAGCGCTGCCATTACGACGGCATTCGATATTCCGCTGCTATGAGATCAAGAACATAATGTGGACAGAGTTGGTGTTGATCGAAGCTACCCGTGACCAACAAAAATCAATAGTTACCAGCGGAGAGTTAGTCCTGTGCGTAAAACGTCATCCTATGACCCTGAGTACCGGACCACTACATGTATATATATATATATATATAATTGTAAAATATCGCACTTATAGTACTTGTGTTAATGAAACACTGTTCGATGAAGCACAACAGAACTATTAATTATATATTATTAAATGTACATATTATCCCTCATCGATAGCACGATACGAAGTTTCATTAATTACGCAAACTTCAGGTGCTGAGTATAGATTGACAGTTATGTAATATAAATTTTAATATAATATCTGATTATCGCTATGTTGGCAGAATCATAATTTGTGCTGGGGTTACAGATTTTTTTAATTGTAAAAATATATTTGTTATTTAAAAGTAAAGGGGATTATATATATATATATATATATATATATATATATATATATATATATATATGTCTGAGATGAGGTATTATGTACATTATTTACATTCTTCGGACTATTATCCTCATCTTTGTCGCCATATTTATTACAATGTTTCGGCACGTTCTACGCTCTGGCCTTCTTCAGGTGGGTGAAATGTCGAACTGTTCTAGTTCCACGTGCCATGTTTTATGGATGTCAGTTATCAATAACCTCACGATAATTTCCCTTTGAAAGTTCTGAACTCACACACTTTGGGTCCTGTCACTGGATCTAACCAACGCCTTTATCCACTGTGCCTTGAGGACATCTGGATATGATTTCTGGGTATTATAAACCTAATGTCTTCAGCAACCATTTTTACCAGTGCTCATATTGCAATTTTGCTGTTATCAAATCCGTGTTTTTACCAGAGCTCATATTGCAACTTATTGTTGTGCTTTTCACTAGCACTCCTTATTACTGGTTCCCATATTGTGTTTATTTCTCTGCTTGGTCGGCTCAGGACATTTTTGTGGCCTAGCATATGTGTTGATTCCTTAAGTTTACGAATTTTCCAATGGTGATTATCGAACATAATCCGACAGAGGGCGGGGATCTCTCTTCTCTCTCCGGAAAGTACAACGGCCGAAACGTTGTAACAAATATGGCGACAAAGATTATGATAATAGTCCGAAGAATGTAAATAATATATATATATATATATATATATATATATATATATATATATATATATTATTTGTGTGTTTGTTTCTGTGTGTGTGTAAAATATTTTTAGAGTTCTGAATTTAATTATATATATCAAGCATAAATTAATCTGGATTATCGTAATTAATCTGGATCACTGTATTTAAGCAGATATTCTTTTTTATGCCTAAATGTAATGATCAATTCAGTTAACTGGGTTAACTAGGTACGGTTATTTACGTATTTTGAGATAACAAATTTTTCAGCAAGGCATAAATTACAGTTACTTCCTTTCCCGTTGTATGACTTGGCTCTTGGTACAATATCCTAGGTGATAATAGTGGATTAGAGCCATTCTTTAATTGCCACAATGATGGAGATTGAGCATTGCTGCTTCTGTATTTTTTTATTCCATGAAGTCATTCGATGGTGGTAGAAACGAAATTTCCAAGTAACTTCTGTGGAACCAAAACAAAATATAACACCATTACCGCAATGTATGCTACCTCGGTATAAAATATTATCAGTCATATATATATATATATATATATATATATATATATATATATATATATATATATATAGCTGTGTAGAAATACCTTCCATAATAGAAGTATATAGAAATATTTCCCACGTAAGACTGATGACGACAGCATTGCCATTAAATACCTCCAGTTCTTTCTGGGAGATATATGTGGTGGGTATTTCTGCTGGATTCACACACACACACACACACACACACACACACATATATATATATATATATATATATATATATATATATATATATATATGGGGCGCGTGTATGTGTGTGCGTGTGTGTGTATATATATATGCGTGTGCGTGTGTGTCTATATATGTGCGCGCGTGCGTTTGTGTGCGTGTCTGCATGCATGTGTATTTGGGCTACTGTGTGTGAAGGCTGAAAGATACTGACGTGCATACTAAACAATTTCAAATGTTTCCGTCTACGAAACCCCACATTTAACGTGCATCTTTCACCTAAATGGCAAATTTGTTAGCGTAGGGGGAATTTATGGCTTGCATTTAATTAGAATATCTGGGATAAATGGCGGATGATCCTCGACTTGAAGATGCCTCCATTGCTGTGGACAGGAAATCATGCCTTCCTGAATTCGATCTACATTGCAACATTTCTGGAAATGCAGCTGTCGGTGAGACTTACTCCTCCCGAATGCAATATGAATAGAAATGAGTGTGAGTTGATTCAGAGTACATCGCCTGCGGGGTCTTAACTCTGATGGTCTGGATTAGTGGAAACAGGTATGTACATACGTTACATATGGACATAAAACACTCGTATACACATGCAAACATTTGGAAAAACACACTCAGACACTCCCCCCCCCATATATATATATATATATATATATATATATATATATATATATATATATATATATATAACTTACGAAAAAAATGCCATAGATAGGATCAGATTGACATAGATAGATAGATAGATAGATAGATAGATAGATAGATTTGACAAAATGAGATAGAGAGATCGATCGTGTGGTATAGATAGATAGATAGATAGATAGATAGATAGATAGGTAGATAATATGGAGTACGTAAAGTATTAAATATGTAATAGTTACGAAGAAGATCTCTTAGCAATAGATTTAGATAGATAGATAATTTGGAGTAGGTGAAGTATTAAATATGTAATAGTTACGAAAAAGATGCCTTAGATAGGAACAGATTGGCATAGATAGATAGATAGATAGATAGATAGATAGATAGATAATATGGAGTACGTAAAGTATTAAATATGTAATAGTTGCGAAGAAGATCTCTTAGATAGCAATAGATTGACATAGATAGATAGATAGATAGATAAGTTGGAGTAGGTGAAGTATTAAATATGTAATAGTTACGAAAAAGATGCCCTAAATAGGAACAGATTGGCATAGATAGATAGATAGATAGATAGATAGATGTAAAGAGGCATATAGATAGATAGATAGATAGATAGATAGATAGATAGATAGATGTAAACAGGCATATAGATAGATAGATAGATAGATAGATAGATAGATAGATAGATAGATAGATAGATAGATAATCTCACAATTGACAAAGCCGTGAAAACATGTTTTCAACATTCTTTCATGAAACTAATATATTCTCTATTGTTCGTTAAGGAAATGACAGATAATTAACATAATAATTAAGCGCTAAAATTTGCATGATAACCAAACGAGTGAATGCGCCGGCAAATTATTTTACCTTCACTGTTGAAGATGGCCAAATTTTTTTTTTCTTTTCTTTCGTTATAGCTGTTATTAAATAAAAAATAAAATGCTTCTGTTGGTAATTAGATGAGTTAGCCCGCAGTCATTCACTTCCTTTTTTTCTTTTTCTGCGAAATAATAATTATTATTAAGGAGACAATTGAACAGACCGTTACCTTCGGATAATTATTTTATCGGTTGTATGATCCATATAATCGACCAATCACGCCATGACACGTCATCCGTTGTTTCAGTGGAGTTCTTTCTTCTCTGATTTTTTTGTAGACTTTTTTGGTTATTGTTTAAAGTTATATTGTACAGGAATATTTTCTTTTTTTTTGTTTTCGTCTTTTTTGTGTAGGGGTGAATTTTTGCTTGCATCTTTTTATTTGCTTATGAATTTTCTTGTGTTTATTTTTTTTCTATACTTCTGCATTTTTCTGAACTTTTATTAAGCATTGTTCTCTCTCATATATTTTCATACATTCTTGTCCAACTCCCTTCTTTTCCGTTCTTCTTTCTTCAATTCTTCCAATTATTTTGCTGTGTTTTGTGATTATTATTAACTTTCTTGTATTGCTTCTTTTTCTATATTCTTGCTTTTTTTCTGAATTTTTTCTCAAGACTAGTTCTCGCTTGTATATATTGTTTTAAATTCATGTCTCTGTTTTTTTTCCGTATTTCTTGCTTCAATTCTTCTCATCATTAGACCTTTTCCTTTTTAGCTCATTGTTTTTCCATCTTTCTCCTTCAAAAATTACTTGAATTTTTTTGTATTTTTTAAATTTATTTTTTACTAATTTTCATCCCGAACAATGCACAAGTGCAATTTATGGTAGATTGTTACAGTATCTTTTAAAAATCACAGTCAGCCATGGACTTGGAGTGATTCATATGGTAGCGGATGGGAAAATATCCTACCGGTAGTTTGTTCCATATAAGAACTCTTCTTTGAAGAAGATTTCCAAGTGAAATTTACTGTTATAATATGAAAGAAATCGAAATGAGTACTACCTGTATATATGGCATTCCAGGTCCAAACTTTAAATGCCAAGACTGACGTGAAGAAAGAATGTCGCTCTTCGGAAAACTTTTAATGGAAACCGGGGTGGATTAGCAAGAGGGATGCGCCGTTTCATCTCCCCGTAAAATGGGGTATAGGGTTGAACATCCCTCACAAGGCTGTGTAGGCGGTTCTGAACTCTATCCTATCTAGTGAGAAATTGCTAACTTCAGCCTAAATACACCAATTTTGGTCTGAGCTCACTTTGTAAATACTGGGCATGTTATTTTCCCAGTATCATTACTGTAATGGGACCTTACCGATAATAGCATAATGGACTATTCCATACGTAATAAATACTGCGCCTCAAGGGGAAGCAGGGAGTTCAACCCAAAGTCGGGCGACCGGCTGATCGGCTGATCGGATTGAATCCGAACAAGGCAAAGCCGAAGGGCGGAGTCTCTTTCGAGGAGGTAAACCGACCCTGAACACGATTATACGGGTTCAAATGGCATATTTTTGACCGAGCCCACGGGCTCTGAGATCCCACATTAAACCGGCCTTGTGCCACATGATGCCCTCGAGGTGGGGTGACTAAATACTGTTCTGCCTGATGTCGGGCGACCGACTGATCGGCTGTTCGGTTGAACTATCTGCCTTCGGGTGCGGAGGAACCCAAACGAGGCTACGCCGAAGGGCGGAGTCTCTTTCGCGGAGGTAAACTGACCCTGAACCCGTTTATACCGGTTCAAAGGGCATATTTTTGGCCGAGCACACGGGCTTGGACATCCCACGGGCTCGGAGATCCCACGGGCTCGGAGATCCCACGTTGAACGGACCTTGTGCCACATGATGCCCTCGTGGTGGGGGTGACTAAATACCTTTCAGTCTGAAGTCTGGAGTGAAGCCCGTCAGGAGTCTGCCAGTCAGTCAGAGTGAGTCAGTCAGTCCAGACAGAGGCAGTCCGCAACAGAGTCCCGTTCAGGAAATTACAACAAGATATTGAAATAGTGACACTGGTCGAGGCTACCTGATTGTTCGTACTAACACTTTCTACTTCTCTGTATATATTCCTGTTTGTAATATATCAGTGTTATTCCATATACCATATCCATGTTCGAGTGCTTTTTATTGGTTCTACCTTGGACTATCACCGTGGTACAAGGAACCGGGCCATAACAATTATTAATAGTCATAAATATGCTTTTCTGTTGAGGTCTTTTGGGGGTGAGTTTGAATTACATGTACGGCAATGACACCCCCCTCCCTGATATCACACCCATCCATTATTATTTGAGAAAGTTCAGTCTATGCGCCATGATTGTGAAACGTTAGTTTAGAATTATTGCATTTCACAAGAAAGTCCTGCCCGCGTTGACCTAGAATGGAAAACTCAAAATCTGGTTACCCAGATTTCTGGAGTTGCACCTATAAACAGGATAGATCCCCATTAAATATCGAAGTGTGTTTTTAGGCAGATCGTTAATTAAAAACTGAAAGCGGGTAGAACTGCTAACGGTGAATAACGCCGGCATTGAACTAGTGGACTTCCGATTCTGGTTTCTTTTCTTTCGTGTTTTTTATTTATTTATTTTTTGATATCATTTATGTCGCACTCATCAGCACATTTATTCGTTCTCTCATTTTTATCATTGTTCCGGCTTTTCATTTTATTTATATATTTACTTATTATTTATTTCCTATTATTTTTTTCTATATTTTCCAGTGTTCTTTCTTGATTTTTTTCTATCTTTCTTCCTTCCTTCTTTTCTTACCGTTTGTTTTCTTTTTTTCCTACCTTTCTATATTTCTTCTTTTCGTCCTTTCTTTCTATTTTTTTTTATCTACTTCTTCCTTTATTTCTTTTTTCCTCCGTTCATTCCTTTTTTCCTTTATTTCTTTCAGTATTTTTTTTTCGTATTTCCTTCCTTTCTATATATATGTCTTTCTTCTTTATGTTCTTTTCTTCCTTTCTTTCTTTCTTTCTTTCTTTCTTTCTTTCTTTCTCATTCCACCCTTTTTATATGTGTATCTTTCAGTCTTTTTTTTTCTTCCTAACTATATTTCTGCCTTTCTTCCTTCGGTTCTTTCATTCTACATTCTTTCTTTCTCTCGTTCTTTCTTTAATTTTTCTTTATTTATTTGTTTCTTTCTTTCCATCTTTTTCTTTTTTCTTTCCTTTCTATATTTCTGTCTTTCTTTCGTCCATTCTTATTTTCCTTCCTTCCTTCTTTCTTTGTATATTTCTTTCTTTCTTTTGCATTTCTTTTGCATTTCTTTTGCATTTCTTTTGCTTTCCAGATGTATTCATCTTCTAATATTCTATTATTTTATATTGTGCCCTTTCTTTCATTCTTTCTTTCTTTCTTTCTTTCTTTCTTTCTTTCTTTCTTTTTCTTTTCAGTCTTATTTTCCTTCTCCATTATATCTCTCCTATTTTTTTGTTTTTTTTCCTTTCTTTCTTCCGTACCTTTCTTTCTATATTTTGTTTCTTTTGTTTTTCTATTCTTTCCATCTTTTTCACATTCCGGTTCTTGTTCTTACAATGTTTTTATTTGTCTCTTCCTTTTGTACTTTCTTTCGCCAATCCACCATAATCAAATGTTAAAATAAAGCTGTTGGAATCCCCAGCAATCTTTAAGGCGAACACATTTCAAATTCAGTTGTAAACATGTCACCTTTTCCATAGCACAACAATACAACGAAAAAACCCCTTTTTTTCGGGATGAGGCTATATTAAATACAAATTCCCATTAAAATTTGCATTTTCTAAAGATGCGAAAAAATCGGAAAATTCGCAGATGTTTTATTTTTCAACCGAAGATTTACTGTCGTTATCAAGCACTCACAAATTTGAAAAGCATGTACAATTCTCTTTTCTGTTTTTTTCAGATGCATTTTAACTCATTTTGGAAACGTATCAGAAGGATTCGTACATTGATAGTAAAATATATAAGATGGGAATATTTTTTAAATCCATGTGCATAATAAGTATAAAAGGAAAACAAAGAAACAGTTTATGAGATTTTTTTTCTGAAAAATGAGCAAGACAATAATTTTTCTATTTGGATCATCCATTCAGGACATAGGCGACCATATCTCTCGTTGCCTTTCCTTTTTTCACTTGTCCTCAGTATGACATGAACTGATTAAGTTTTCCAAGACTTCCATCTTCATTATCAAAGAAATTTCAAATGTCTTTTCCCTGTTATGATATACACTAAGGGTTGGCAACCTACGGCCCGCGAAGGCATTTTGACCGGCCCGTGAGCCTGATTACCAATGACTCTATTTTTAACATGATAGACGACCTTCAAATGTCATTTTCCATAGAACGTCTACACATCTCAGTGCACTAAAAATATTAAACTATCTGCCAGTTTTCTTTCATGAGACTTATTTTACCAAAATGCGTTGCCTACGTTTAATGTCAAATAATGGATACATATTTGTTATGACCCTTGGCTACATTAAAAGATAACAGAAGCGAAAGGAACGATAAAGTGAAAGAGGCCAGGGAGGGACTGACATGTGAGGTAGCAGAAATCTAAAGACAGTTAAACATACGCGCATTATACATACATGCCTCATGAATGTGTGGATGATACCGCATGTGTACGTATGTAAGTGTATATGTTTGCAACTATTTGTACTCGTATGTATGGGTATATGTGCTTTGTTTTTGTTTCATGTGTGTGTGTGTGGTTCGTTTGTGGAACAATTTTTAATAACAGTTTCAAACCTACACGTCACAATATCATCCATTTCACTTCGGTTGATTTTGTTTTCACTTTGAAGTATTTTGTTGTTCTTTGAGGAAAAGTAACTTTTGTTCGGTGTTTTTTTTTTTTAATTTTAGATTTTCTTTTGTTTTTTCTGATTTCTCTATGTTTATTTTCATTATGGTTTTAAATATTTATGCTGACAGGGGTCTGTATATGTAATTTTTCTTAATTTTTCATTAATAGCCTTAGTCCGGCCCGCGACCCGTCATTATAACACGATCCGGCCCGCGGGGTCGAATCAGTTGCCGACCCCTGATATACACCCTTGTGCAAATTAATTGAAAACAACCCCTTTAGTTTCATTTCTTTCAAAATACAGTCAGTTTTAGACCTACTGCGTGTAATCGATTTCTATTTCTCTCAGATTAGGTTATTTGCAGTGGTGTGCAGTAATTTGAATCTATTTTGGGGTGTATGATGAAATTTGTTTGGCCTTGAATAATATTGCATCATCCGTGATTGCATCAAATTTTTATCACAACCACACACTATTATCCCAACTGTCGATTAGTTTTCTTACGACATTGTCTGTGATGGCAATTACTACAAAGAAGTGTACTAAAACAGTAACGCTGCGCGAATACACTGGCAAGCCTTACCAGTTAAAATCAAAATACTATAGACTGGCTCGGTAAATCTCCTGTTTCATATTTAATCGAGAATCTGTGGTTAATCCTCAAGGAACGGTTTCGTGTAATGGACATAAGATGTTCTAATGTATGCACTGGGTCATATTTCATTGAAAAAATACGAAAAGAGTAAATGATAATTATTCGTATTGTGTCAATTCAATTGCACAAGGGCGTAATTTCGTTCTCTGTGTTGTGCCAGAAAGTTTTTTTCTCCTCTGTGTCCCTCCTTCAAATCTATAAATCAACCATCCGTCCTTGCATGGAAAATTGCTGTCATATATGGTGTAGTGTTCCCGCTGTATGTCTTGAGGTCCTCGACAATATCCAGAGACGAATATGCAAGATGATAGCTCGTCATCTGACATCTAGGCTACAAACGCTAGCCCACCTAGTTTCCGGGGCATCCCTGTGTCTCTCCTACAAGTTTTTTTACGGCAACTTTTCCGACGAGCTACTTTCGCTCCTTCTCGGACGACATGGATTTAAGCGAGCTACGAGAATGTCATCTGGGTCCCACCATTTCATTTTCAAAACGGTTATATATAACCGTCTCTTCTATTCAAACAGCTTCTTCTCCCGCACTTCCCGTCTGTGGAAATTCATTTCCCTTACTTGCTTCCCCGATGACTATAATCTTCAAATATTCAAGTGTAATGTCAATCGATATCTGACACCCTGAACTTATACCCCGTCCTTCTCTGTATCGTTTCCTCAAACACGCCTCTTTACTCTTGTTCTCAATCCTCTGTAACACCTTGCCTGCTATTGGCACTTTTTCCTTGCTTGGGGTGAATTGCCTTAAAGAAAAAGTCTTCTTTCTAATTCCATTTTCTTTATACTTCCTTGCTGCTTACTCGATCCGTCAATAGAAATTTGAGTACCCTTCTGTAGAATCGAATTTCTGCTGCCTCTTGTTATTTTTTAGTCATCCTTATGGAAATTGTTCAGCATGCACCTCCATATAGGAGGATGTATATCACATAGCAATCCAGCAGACCTTTCTTTTTTTCTAACGAAAGTCTTCCGGTTGTCAGCGAGTTATTTATGTTTTGGAATACGCCTTTCGCTAGTCCAACGCGTGTTAGGATCTTGATGTCGCAATTTCCATCCTCCATTGAACTGTTTCCCAAATATTTGAATATATGCTACATGTTTATATCTCAAATTGGTAGCAAGCGTCTTGTGCTTATTCCTTGCTGATGACTTTATTTTCTGTCTTTTTCTCGTTAATGTTTAGTTCATTTTTCAATCTTTCTTCCACCACATTGTCTCGGAGAACTTGTAACTTGTTTTGGCTATCATCACAGTATCATATGCGCATCATATTATTAAGATTACAGCCACCATTGATATAACGGGGTAGGGGTTCAAGACCCATCCAGCAAATTCGTTCAATAAGATGGCGTATATGCAATAGAACTCAACACAGAGAAATCCATCGTAATGATGAATAAAGCTGGCAACATCAGTGACAGCGTCACCATCGATGGCGAACCAGTGCAGCAAGTGCCTAGTTTCAAATACCTACGAGCATCCTTGTCAAACGATGTCACCTGATATAATGCAATGCAGAAACGGATCGCCAGTATTACAGAAGACTTTAAAGGATATGGAAGTACAATATTAACTTCCAGACAAATTTCAAAATCTACAAATCTCTGGTCGTATCCATTCTCCTCCTCGAGGTGTGTTAGACTTGGACATTTCTGGTTGAGGTGGAAAAAAGGATCGAGGTGTTCGAGAAGAAATGCTAGAGCTATCTCCCCTGCATATTCAACTGGGACTACAAAGCTAATGACTATTTACGAAGCTGTGTCAAAGGTTTCGAGGACCGTGAGAAATCTCCCCTCTATTAAACGTCTAAAGATGGTATGGTGTGGCCGCATCACATGACATAACAGCCGCTGCAAGACCATCATTAGTACACTGTTGAAGACGGGCGCAAGTGGGAAACCAATGCAAAACCTAGTCCCGACATCATCAAAGGGATGTCGCATATCGCAATGCAGCAACTTCTGAGAGCCTCCGCCAACAGATCATTGTGGAAGAGGTTATCTGTTACTTCTAAATTTAGCCTCCCACCCCCGAAGAATGAAGTAATCAAAGGAGGGATCAAGA